GGTCTTGTTGCAACCAGCAGAAGGAGCTGGTGACTATGCAAGCTGCATGTTTCTGCACCTAGATTCCCTTTGACATAGGGCTTTTCCTCCCAAGCCTCCTTTTAAAATGAAACCCAAGCTGCCCTGTAGCAGCACAGACCTTAGTGATCCATGCATGAACTTGCTGTCTCCGGGCAAAGTTGTCATTCAGAGGATGAATTCAGGCTCAAATGGGCAGGGCTGTTAGTATGGTCGGGAAATCAAGAGCCTGTCTTACAGAAAATAACTAAAAAGCCCTGGTTTGTCTAGTTTAGCAAAACAAAGGTCAAGTGGAGATATGATTGCTCTCTACAGTTAAACTCCTGGCAGGAAAAAAAACAGCTTTGTAAGCTAAAGCATGTTGTTGACACAAAAACAGATGGGCAAAAGCTGTTCATGAATAAATTTAAACTAGGCATTAGAAGAAGGTTCCTAAGAAGAGTGAAGTTTCTGGAACAGACTTGGAGTTGCAATAATACGGGAAAGAAAGTAATGATAAGATGGAGGATGATATTTTCATGACCAGGATTATATGTCAAGAGGGATAGTGATAGCAAATGACTCCAAGACATGGTGGATAGTGACAACAAATGACTCAGAGACACAGGAGGTCCATCCCAGCCCTATGTCCTATAGTCCTTGCATGGTCCGTGACAGTACAAGTCGAAGGTTTGCACTGGTTGTTTAGCAGCATCCTCTTTCTAGGCAGATCGTGTCTTTAGGTAGCTCCTCCAAACATTGTTTCATTCACTAGATAACCTGCCTGTGCCTTCTACCTGTGCTAGATCCAAGATGTGGTTACTTTGCTATTCACGTGCTAGCAGAATTGTGATGGGGTATAAAATAATACAGCAAAACTAAACAACAGCAGCAACATAAATACAGATCTTGTTTTTCCCTATGCAAGTTTGGGCTTCACAGAAAACGAGGGTGTGAAGAGACCTCAGGAGGTCACATCTAGTCTAACCCCCTGTTCAAAGCAGGACCAGCCCCAATTACATCATCCCAGACAAGGCTGTGTCTACCCAGGCCTTAAAAACCTCCAAGGATGGAGAGCCCACAAGCTCTCTGCATAACTTGTTTCAGTCCTTTAGTGCCCTCCTATTTTCCTAATATCTAACCTCAACTTCCCTTGCTGCAGCTTGTGCCCATTGCTCCTTGTCCTGTCATCTGCCCCCACTGAGACCAGCCCAGCTCCATCCTCTTTGCAGCCCCCCTGCAGGGAGGTGAAGGCTGCTATTCAATCCCCCTCGGTCTCCTCTTCTCCAGACTCAATCAGCCCATTTCCCTCAGCCACTCCTTATAAGTCATGTCACAGGCATGTTGCTGCTGTTCAGCTTCATCATTCGGTCATATTTGTTTAAAGACATTTTTCCAGGTGCAGCATCCCTGCAAGGTGCTTCTGGTATAGATGCACCTTCTCGTCTAGATGCACCGAGATGCTTCTGGTATAGATGCTCCTTGTGGTATAGACGCACCTAGGATCTTTGCCCTTTGAGAGTCCCACCATTTGCACAGCATTATCTGTGCTGCTGAATATTTCATCCCTCTTCCTTGGCTTTGCAGACCGGGCCAAATGCAGTGGAGTTGTTCAAGCTGGTGGAGGATTTCATCGATGTCATTGGGTTTCGCATGAAGGATTTCCGGGATTCCTATCAAGTGACGGACAATCTGGGTGAGTCGATTTGATGTCTGCTTCCCTTTCTTCGCACGGTGAGGGCAGCTGTTGCACACAGGTGGTATGAGTCTGAGGGTGGGGAAAGAGTCGATTATAGCCTCGGGTCACATAGAAGAGCCCAGCTAAGAAGGGGACATGGAGGCTGTGCTCGTTGAACAGGAACATCAGCCCCACTTGCTAAGTGACAGCATCTTTCATGGATGGACCTCAGCCGTCAAGTGTCTCCTGCAGAGCCAGAGACTGCAGGAACACAGCGCTGCCAAATCTTCCCCTGATTTTGGCAACCAAGAGTACACATGGGGCTCTTCCAGCGTGCTTGTACCATGACATGAGGTCCTGTTAATCCTTTCTCTTGCAAGCCCCAGTTGCCTCAGCTTACTGAAGGGAGGGACTTGCCCCAGGGCCCAGCATACCCCTGTAGGCACCAGGTGAGGAACAAATGTGCACAAAGGGTGAACCACTACCCAAATGGGTGATGGGCCGTTCATGTATGGGCTCAACTTTCCTTCAAGCTAAACAGATTCCTTTTGCCTGGTCCTTGCTCCCCCTAGTGATGAAGAGAAAACGTGGATGCCCTGTTTCCAGTGGTCAAACACCGAGTCCTGGCTTGCGATGACTGACAAAAACCCCTGCCTTATTGCCTTGCATGCAACGGGCACCTATCCCCCCAAAACCCAGCTGCTGGAAATTGGCATGTGCATTATAAGCAAGAAATATGGTAAGAGCAGCTTCTGTTGCTCTGGGTGAAACCAAATGTAAAACGTTCAGTGATTCACGGGGGGCACAGCAATATGCTACCTAGCTGCTGCCACTCAGCTATTTACTACGAGGAAAGATCTTTTTTTCCCCTTCTTTATTCTGCTTTTCAAAAGCAAGTGGGTTATTCCAGGGGAGTATCGTATGCAAGAAAATACAGTAGTTTCTCGTTATGGTAAAACTAAAGTCACGTGAGTTGCTCTGCATTGCACTGGTGTCTGAGCGTGCCGATGTTGACCCGGGTTCTTGCAACACGTTTCTCTTCCAATTCTCCCCAGGAGGTTTCTCCAGGTGAGTGTGACTGCTGAGCTCGACCTTTGAGGTTTGCTTTATTTATTATTATTGCATCTTTCCCCAAGTCCTCAGCCTTCACCGACTCCCTGCCAATGCGGCGACCGACATCAGCTTCCCCATGAAAGGCTGGAGAGGCATGGTGGACTGGGCCAAGAACTCGGAGGAGAAGGTCACCATCTTCAAGAGCACCCTCACCACAGGGGTGCCAGGTAAGGCAGCCCAATCAGGGTGCCCCACAGGCTGGCTCTTCAGAGCCGAGGGCTTCATCATGTATGGCATCATGTGTGCAAATTCGGCTCCCAACCATCCAGGCCCTGCCAGTAAGAGGCTGGTCCTTCATGCATTGCTGGATATGCCGAACCACAAGGGCTGAAGGATGGGCACAGGTTAGATCCAGATCCAAACTCTCTGCAAAGTTTGGGGAATCTGGATTCAGGCATGGATCCATTTCTAGACAGAGCATGCTGGGAGCAGTGAACCTCAGTTCACTGGTGCACAGCTGATGGCTTCCCAAAAAACAGTGTCCCAAAGGGCAGCTCCCTGGGACGGGGCATTCGGGTATCCAGAATATTTTGGGAGCTTTGTTATCAGTTTGATGGCTAGTTATAGGGATGTTTTTTCCTATAAATGGGCTGGACAAAAAACAGAAGGATGTTCTCCAGGAGAGGGTGGAGAAGAGGGAATGGTCATTGTCCGTCCATGATGGACGTGTCCTGGGCTGGGTGAGTAGCTGGGCAATCCTTTCTGGCCTGCTCTGAAAACCATGTGGGGGATCTGGTTGTTCAGCTGCTCCATGTGTCATTGCTGGCTTCAGGGGGATTTGTCAAGCCGGGATCAGCCCGTACACCCACGATCCCGAGAGGCGCCGAGCATGCAGAGCTCCCTCGTGGAAGTCAGCCCTCAGGTCTCAGCTCAGGTTGCATGCATCTCCTTTGCAGGATCAGGCCTTCGCTGTATAAGGCAACGCTTCAGACAAAGTGGTGTTGGCAAAAGGAGTCCATTTTCAAACCACAAAGCTCTTTGGGCATAGAAATGGATGGCAACCTGAGGCCTGGGGCAGCTAAGCACCTTTCCAAAGGTCAAGCAATGAGTCAGTAGCAGAGCCAGGACTGACTCCAGGGCCTTTGTCTCCCTGGCTCCTGAATCATAGAGAGAAGAGGAGGGCTGGAAAGGACCTCCGGGTTTGTCTAGTCCAACTCCCCCATCTCAGGCAGGCTCACCCCTGTCCAGACCACCCCTTACAAATGCATTATCTAAAGTCTTCATAAAGCTACCCTCAACCTTAACCTAACACAGGATATAACACCCCCCCCAGTAAAGCAGAGGAAGCACAGCAACCAACGTCCTGCTTCTGTAAGAGGCTGTTAATAGATGTTCAAGAGATCCCAGGTGGAGGGCCATGTCCCGCGCTACAAAGGGAGGCAGCCCTCTCTGTCTGTACCAGTCTGACCATGGGGTAAAATTCCTTCTTGACCCCCGATATGGCAATGGGTCTGACCCTGGGTGGAGGGGCAAAACCCTCTAACCAGAAGCCTCTGGCTTGAGGCTCAACAGGAGCATCCAGCCTTGTCTGCAGGCTGCAGCCAACACCTCTGAGGGTGGCTTAAAAGCCCCCTGATACAAGGGTATTGTCAGTATTTTTAACGACAGCCTTGCCTGTGTGAATGAGCATAGGAAGGGGTGCTCTCAAGTGCAGGTTTCTTTGCAGAATTGCAGCTTGCTAAGATAATGGGATGAGCCAGGACCACGCTCTTGGCATCACCGGAGCAGTGCTGATTGTGCACCAGCTGAGCATCTGACCTTGCATCTTTGCAAGCGCTCAGCACAGACCTCCGCCTGCAGCCTGCATGCCAGCCATGACTGGGGCTGGGCACGAGACCTCGGCAGCCGTGCTAGCGAGTGATGCCGGGGTGCGATTTGCAGAGATGAGGCCGTGCACGATGCAGGACCGAAAGCATAAACCACTCTTCCAGGCGAGATGCCCTCTTGGGGTCATTTTGCACATGCCTATAAATAATATGGGATGGTGAGGTCATTAACAGAGCCACAAATCCTGACTGGAGTGCCTCCCGCACTCAGATCCCTTTGCATTTTCAGGGGTCGGGTACAGGAAAATTGCCGACAGAGCGGCAGGTTTGTGCTTCTTTCTGCTACTGGAGGGAGAAAGCCCTGTGTGGCTTCACCCGCTGCATCCCCGGTACGATGGGGAAGCGCCGTTTGAAGCCCTGCCTGCCAGGGCTTTGCAGGACTAGACCGACACACGGTCACTTGCTGTGCCCGTGGTCGTTCTGCCCGGGGGTGGGAGCCAGTTGGCAGGGAGGCCCTTGCTTTTCACGGCTGGGTTGTGTGAGGCAGAAGCAGGGGTCCAGCAACTTGCTCAAGGGGGCTCAAACCAATCTGAGACCTGTGGGCCCTTTTGCTCTCACTGGGTGCCTCGACCCGTCGCCATACGAGGATGTTGCTACCATGCTTTAGTACTTCTTTTTGGAGGTACTCAAGCACGGCGCAGTAACCGCCCATACAGGTGGCTTGGATTTCCCCGCTACACGTAGACCCGCGCGTGACAGCTTTAGGCTTGGCCATGATGGACGCCGTTTCAGCCGATAGTGCACAAGGCCCTTTGGTGAGGGATGAGGAGGGGTTAACACAGGTTGCAGTCTTGCAGGTCTTCATTGGGAGCAATGTCAAAAATCCTCCCCCGCTTCAGCCGTGTGTGTCGGCTTGGTGCAGCTCCGGTCCCTCATGGCTCATTGCCACTGATTGCAAAGGGTGCTAACGAGCCCCTCTGAGCCAAGGGGGGATGCAGTCCTGCTTGAGAAGCATTGGATCCGGCATGGGTTCATCCTTCTTCCCCCAATTCCTCGCAGCCAGGCCTGCCCCTTCTCCACCCTGGGGATTGCAGTCCTACCGAAGACCCTAAAAGAGAGAGGATTGCTAGTGGGTGGGGACCCCCTGCAAAACCCACGCCGGGTCCCTCCCCACTGCAGTGCTGCAGGGCAGGGCATGCTTTCCCCCTTCCCTTTGCACCCCGATGGTCTCAGTTCTGCTGTCTTTCTCCTCTCCTCTTTGCCGCTCCCCGAGACAGACGACTTGTCCAACTTCGTGGTGGGCACCGTGCTGTACAGGAACGTCGGGAGCATCCTCGCCCTCCAGAGGTAAGCAGGGCTGGGTGCGACTCATTGCTCCTTCCCCTTCCAGATACCCACCTCAGTCTCCGCTCAACATCCAGGGGCCCTCTAGGACCTTGCTCCTGCTGGTAGCCCGTGCCCAAAAGCCAAACAGCACGCTGCAATGCCATGCACCCAACGCTCTCTTGATAGGGACGGGAGCTGAGAGACCCCAGCATCGTGCAGGATGAGGCCAATGACACGAGAATGGAGCGCATCTACATCCCCAGCCAGCCTCCTGCCGCCCCTTCCTTTCACTCCCGGCTGCAGATGGGGGGCTGCCTTGCTCAGACCCCCCGGCCCCTTTCCCCCACCCTCCCGGAGGAGCCATTTGCTGCACGGCTTTATTTGAGAGAGTTGCCGTGCCCGGCAAGCTCCGGGAGCGGCGCGCCATGGATGGCTGCACATGTCTGCGGCGTTCCAGGACTCTGCAAACCACCTCGGGGCTTGCAGGCTTTTGTGTTCAGCAAAGGCTTTTCTTTTCCTGATGCTTTTTTTTTTTTTTCCTTTTCCATGGCTCGTACTGAGGCAGTAAATTAAGCATCCTAAGGCACCTTTTAAATCTGTTCTGCACTGATTAGCCCTAGCCCATTTACTGTAAACGCTGGGGCATCTCTGTTCGCTGATAATCATTTAAATACCTCCAGATTTAGAACCGGCGAAGGCGGGAGGGGTAGGCAGGAGCAGAGAGAGGAATTAGCAAGCAAATGGACTGTATTCGGTAATATCTTCCATTACAGCACTGGGAATTAGTTTGGAAGGGCTATAAACATCATTGGCTCCAATGATCCAAAGGTATTTCAGCTTTCGTTGGCCAAGCGGTGAATGAGCGCTGATAACCAGCAGCCTCAGTGCCGGCTCCTCTGCTGCCACGGCCTCCCATGGGCTCTGATTTAAGTTGTTCCTTAATTAAGGACAGTCCCCCTTTAAACAATGCATGACCCTGCCTTGCCTGAAGCTGTCTGGAAGGCAGGATGAAACAGAGCCACGGCCCATCCATCAAGGAGCATGGTGCATGGAAATGGGAGAAGACGACCTAGGATCCTACCTAATAGCACAGCCCTTACAGGGGGAAATGCCTGACCCTAAATTGCAGTCGCCTGTCCCTGGGAGCACAAGGGCTTATGGAGCAGATTGTGGTACTCAAGCCCAAGTACAGTATGGAAACAAATGGAGTCGCTGCAGATTTCCACCCCCGTCACCACTGCTGGGGCTCTTATTCATAAGTGCCTGCTCTCTATTGATCTAGCTCTGTTATCTCTGGCACCGGTGAGCGTCGCAGGTTAATTATACGTTGCCTCACATTGATCCGTTTTCAATTGCTTCTTCAGTCCCAGGCTTCCCGGCTAGGTTTGGTGTCAGAGGTGGTCCAGTCTTTGAGGGATGGATAGCCCTGCCAGCAATGCCCTTGGCCTCCACTGTTGTTGGCGGGGGTGGAAGGACAGATAGGATAGTGTCGCGTAATGTGTAGACTCTCTCTATTAGGGGTGTCACACCCACCCTGTAGCTGGGTAGGTGTGACACCCCTAATATAGAAAGTCCAAACCAGGCTCCTTGTTTGGCTGGATGCACAGGGCCACCAGTGGCAACCACAGCGTAGGGCTTGTAGCCATGAATTGTGGGGACACTTGCTATGATGGGTGCAATGCCAGGGACCTCCAGGGGCCATCGAGTCCAACCCCAGTGTGAGGCACGATCTTCCCTATCTGAACCATCCCATACAAATGCTAATTTAAATGCTACGTAAGATTAACATCAACCCTGGCACAACACAGACATAACGTCCTACAGGTAAAGCAGGGGACCATGGCATGGCATGGCTGCAGGTAAAGCAGGGGATCACAGCACCCTATGTCTTGCTTCTGTAAAAAGTGGATAATATACGTTTGAGAGGTCCCAGGTAGAGGGCCACATCCCCCGCTATAGAGGAAGGCAAAACCCCCACAGTTCATACTCATCTGACCGTGGGGTAAAAGTCCTTCCTGACCCCATATGGGGAGATTGGTCTGACCCTGAGTGGAAGGGCAAGACCCTCTAGCCAGGACCTCGGTGCCGAGTAGACAGGTGCTATCACCTCCTGCATCTTGCAACTAATGCTTCAACTGGTGCAGCCCAAAATCTGTGTCCACCAAGCTGAAAACTTCGCCCCATGTGTCAGCCTCACATTGTAAAACCTGTGGTCTAGCCCAAGGTTTATTTTTGCGGATTCACTTGGGGCAATGCAAAGCTGCCTGATTTTCAGGCAGTGCTAAATATCCGCCTTCTAAAAACCAGGCCCTTTAAGGTCCTCCAAAATCACCAGCCCCGGGTGAACATCTGGGCCTTATCACCTACTTTTTTTTGCCCCGGAGTGTGAAAGGGTGAGGTCTTTTCATTTCTCCTATGAGGACACTGATACGGACCTGTTTTTTGGGGCATAGGGAGAGGGGTGGGTGAATGCAACGAGGTGCCTTTGTGATGCCAGGCTGAGACGTGCTGTTAAAGGTAGAGGTGTAGGGGCGGTGAGGACACAGAAAATGCACTCGGTGCCCCCGCATCAGGTGGCTGTAGGAGCCTTGTGCTGTCTCTCCTCCAACACCTAAAAGCACAGTGAGACTTTCAGTGTGCAAATGCCCTTCTGCTGACTTTTTAAAGAAAGCAGGCCCATTTCTTGTCAAATGCACTGCCACAAACTTAGCTGGGGTTACACCAGTTAACCCAGGGGGGCTTTCTCTCCGCAACCTGGTTAAAGAAAGACCTGGTTTCCTTTTTCCCGTAGGAACACGACGGTGCTGAACTCCAAAGTCATCTCCGTGACGGTGAAGCCCTCTCCCCAGCCTCTCGTCACCTCTCTGGAGATCGAGTTCTCCCACTTGTACAACGTAAGTCCCTCTGCCCTGTGCTACCATAGCTTGGCTGTTGGCTTCAGCAACGGTGTCTCACGGCCTGATGGATACTACAGGGCAGGGTAGGCTTTGAACATGGCCACGGGGACCTTTAACATCTCCCCACCCAGGCTTGCTACAGTGAAATCATGTTGGCACCAGCATCTTGCTAACATGCATTTCTCAACGCGTACAGTAAGCCTTTTGGAGGACTTGGCTAAACAGCGCAACTCCCCACAGGGAGCCTGGCTTGCTAATCCATCCACAGTCGCTATTACACGGGAGAATGGGACTCAGATAACAGGCATTTTTGTCCCTGTATTTGACAGTGATTCATTGGGTGACATCACCTTTGAGTATGAACCGATTGGGTTGTATTTATTCCAATACAACCAGTATTACACTGATGAAAAATGTAGCGGACAAACTGTAGAAACTCCCTAAACCAGGGTAACTTTGCCTAAATTGGTGGGAAGTTACCCCTGAGAGTATCAGGGATAAAATTTCAGTGCTGAGAGTTAGTGGTGTAGGTGTCATGTGCCTGCCCTTTATCCCAGGATAAGCATTTGCTCAAGGCACACTCAGTATTACCTGCTACCTGGTGGCAAGGCACTGTGATAGCCACCTACTGGGTGAGCTGCCCTGAGATATCTGCTTATCTGTCTGTTCCTGATCTGGGAGTGATTTATATCATTATACCAAAAAAAATGTGGCTTATACCAGAATATGTGTTTCTCTGGTCACACCCTCAAACAAATCAGATCTACTTGTTCCTCAGTTCCCCCATATATCAAATGAGGTACATGAGGCCTGCTACAAAGGGGGAGGCCTTTTCCATTCATGTTTGCCAAGCTCTTGTCAAGCTTTAGGGGCTGCTAGAGTTGTTCAAATTACTCTTGCTATTACAGATGCCTTAAAGGAGGTCTGAGCACTGGCTCCCTAGTCACTCTTTGGACTCTCATAATGAGGATTTATGCACCTAAGAGCACATTTGCACTTCTAGTTCCATAATCTGGATTTCCTTTTGATCCTGTGCCATGTGATTATGGGGCCCACCTTGTTTTTACTTTAAACTTTCAGGGTGGATATTCAAAAGTGCTCAGTGCTGGCCTAACTCAGCTTCTCTTGAAGCTAATGACAAAACTCCCACTGGCTTCCTGAGGACACGTGGCATCTCCTTGGAGGGTCTTGGTATCTCTTGGGTTCATGTAGAGATGTGGCATGTGATCTTGCTTCCTCTGCATCCAAGGGCCTTGCCTCTTTGGTCTCTCCACCTATGGAAGCAGGAAGAGTGTCAGTAGTTAGAGCTGGGGAAGGCCCATCAGACACTGGGTGCATCTACACATGATATTAATTGTGGAGTAGATTAATTTGCTCCGCAATAAAACATCAGCGTCTACACGTGCAGCTCTATTAGGCCAGAATAAATTAATTTACTCTGTCACAGGATAGTACTGCCAGCTACAAGTACTATTCTGCAGCGGAGTAAATGCCACTGCAATGCACATATCGAGGGCTGGCTGGGGCTGGCTGGGGCATGAGGATGCTACCCTGCAGGGGCTGCCTACCAGCTAGCCCTGCAGTGGAGGACCCTCATGCCCCAACCAGCCCCTCTGCAGCATGTTGAGCTGGGGGGGAGCACCCCAGGGCTGGCAGGATGACCCCTTGAGCCCCCTGCCAGGTAGGGCTGTGCTGCCCTGGCTCAACGTGCTGTAGTCCTGGATGCATGTGAAGACGCTGCACCTGGGAGCAGTAAACTCCAGCGTGATCTGTGCCGTTGTTTATAGCTTCACATTCATTTCATGCGCCCACTGAGTCCAACCCCCTCCTTGCTGCTCTGATCATGGGGAAAAGAGTACAGTCAGCCTCTCCTTTGCCTCTTGATCCATGGTGAAACATGGTTGTTCAGAGGGTAAAAGGTGGTTATGCAGGAACCAGCAGTGGGTTAATTAGTGATTCAGTTTCCTGATGCTCATGCTCTTAATACGATTCTCCCTCTTTCTTCTTTCTCTCTCTCTCTCTTTCCAGGGAACCACCAACCAGACCTGCATCCTGTGGGATGAAACCTATGTGTGAGTCAAGTGGGGTTTTCACTGGCTTTCTGGAGGATGGTAGCTTTTGGGACTTGGCTGGGGGTATCTGTTGCAGGAGGCAGGTGATGATGTGTCCATCTGTCCCGGCCCCTTCTTTTCTCCATGTATCTCCTTCCTGTGTCTGTCTTTGCTTTAGCCCTTTACTCTTTTCCAAAGGGAAGACAAGGTCATTCTCCCTTCCCTCAACAACATCCATTTGCGCCGGTTGTATCAGGCAGTCACTGGCTGCTACCTTCTGTACTAGGGACCCAATTGGTTAAGTCATGGGTATGAAGATGCTATTTCATCCTGCAGACTTTGGGGTTGTGAGTAGCTGGTTCTTTTGCACTGTCTGTAGGAAGTTTTTCAATGGATGGATGATCTTGCTAGCTGAGGAGGAAGAAAGAATAGGAAATGTGGCGTCTTATTTGAAGGAGAGAAGTCACAGTCTAAGTGCTGTCCATCACACAGGTTGTTCACTACATATTTATAACCACGTGTTTGCATCTGTGGGGGCTGCGCGTTGGGCTGGCCATTAGTTATGCGTGTTGCAGGGCATCCGGGTGCTAACCAGCTTTTTGCAAAGTCGCCGTAAATTTTGGGTGTTTCGCTTCTTGGGATCCCAGCCAGGGGAGGTTGCAGCTGATGGTCAAATGGGGAAAGCACTTGCGGCTCTCATTGAATTCGATCAAAATTGTACACACTCCTCACCCTTGGGAAATGCTTACAAGGTGGGCACTTGAAAGGAAGGCGTCCATAATGAAGAGCTGCTTTGAGAAATATGGCCTCGAAGTTGAAGTAGCATAGACAGTGGCTCAATATGATGGCTCTCATCACAGCACCCGTTGTCAGTAGCCCTAGCAGAGATGCTTTTTGAATTTCCAGCTATGTTGCTGACCAGTGAAACTAAGAAATGCAAGTGCACGAGTTGCCATGGGGAAATGGGACTGAGCGTTACAGATGGAGGGGTTGTGACTGTCTAAGCATCTTTATTCTAGGAAGGAGCCAGGGGCATGAAAAAGCTGCCTAACATTATGAATGGACCACACCAGGATCAGAGCAATTGGATTTACTGGTGCTTTTTGCTATTTCACCTTTCTGGGGGTTTTTTTGCATCTGGGGGACCAGTCACTTTGGTTTCCTGTTTATAATCATTTTCACTTCTTGGGTTTTTGCAAATTTAATACAAGCATCTGCAGCGGTGGTAGGGAGGATGATGACAATTATTGCTATTATTATCCTTTTCTTCCATTAAGTCATCTATTTACAGGCATATTTTTATTTGACTTCTATTATTTGTTTTGGGCAGGGTTTAGCCTGGCACAAATGAAAAAACAGGATGAAAGCTAGGAAGCCAGTGATACCTTCATGGCTGTGAAATCACCCGTGTGTCCCTGATGGCAGAGCTGAGAAAAGCTGGCTGGGATGCTGGCAGCAGGGCCTGCCCTTGGGATTGAACATTGATATTGTGGCATGTTCATGGGTCTGGGTGTAGGTGCTTGATAAGAGGAGAGCATAGCAGCAGGTTTCCGGGGACCAGACGGAGCCTGCAGGCTGTCCCGAGGCAGGAGCATCCCAAGTAGAGGTCATGGAGGAGCTGAGTGGCAGATGCTCAGCCTGCAACTGGGAGTGAATCACTTCCCTACTCTGCACCGAGCCAGGCAGCAAAAATGGGCGGGAAGCAAGTCTTTCCCACTCCCCAGCCCCTTAATCCCACAACGAAAGTCATCCAGAGCTTAGCAGCTGCTTTGGACACCAGTCTCACAGCTAACATCCTGGGACGAAGGGGGTGAAAGGAGCCCTTCCCTCAAATCACACAAAGATATGTGCATTAAGAGATGTGCAGGGTGTAGGGTTGGAAGGAACTTGCTCTTAGCATGGGTAGGAGCATGGATGTGGGCCTGGCATCAAGAGGATTGAGGGTCCATGGGGTGTTGTGTGTGGGCTGAGATGTCTGTGCAAGTCGCATTTGACCTGGGGACCAATGTGGCAGGGCTTAGAAAGAGGTGGCAGGTCTAGAAGCTGATAAAACCACAGACAGACCCGGAGGTAGGGGCAGATTTTAGTGCTGTGTTATCTCAGATCTGGTGAGATACAAGCCATCATGGTCCATCCAGGTGCCTCAGACAATTGTTGGATAGATACTAGGACCAGGGCAGCCTGCTCTGTCCATACCAGCTTTGGAAAGCTGGTATGCTAGTAGGGTTTTCTCCCACTTTAATCCTATAAGTGCTGTGTTGTGGCATCCAAGGAGGTGATGTTCACTTGAACTGAGTGCCAGGAAGTGTTACGAGTTTGGGACAGCTGCTTTGGAAAGCAGTTGTCTGTTTGGACCCGAGGTCTCTACATGTCTCTGTCAATGCTATTGGGCACGTGAGTTATATGGCTGCTATTTTCCAAGTTAGGTGTCTGCTGATATTAGATGCACTGGGCACGTCTACACGAGATGCTTATAAAATGGTGCAGTAGTGTGTGGGGCAAAAACTGTGCTAATATGCTACTGCAAAGTCGTATTCGGCTACTGCACAGTAAACATCACAAAAAACCCATGTGCCGGTACTACTGTGCAGTAACTCTAATTACTGCACATTTAGTTAGTACTTCATTAAGCAAGTCCTAAACTAAATGCACATTAATGAACATGTAGTTGCACCCACTGAGTGCAAAGGCTAAAAGCACTTAGCGCTCACCCATCTACTGCAAAAGGGAACCCTCATCCCTCTGCTTTATCTGCAACAGCTGAAGGTACCCTTGGTATTTTTGTCTGTGTGCCTTGTACTTGCATGACAGGGGTTTGTATGTAGTTTTAGGAATAGGTTAGGCAAGGACTTGTAGGGGATGATCTGGATAGGGATGTTCCTGCCTCAAGCACGGGGCTGGAGTGGATGTTGACTCCTGAGGTCCCTTCCAGCCCTGCTTTTCTATGATTCTCTTTTTGATCAGGCCTGAAGGTTGCATAAAAGGAAAAGAAAATACCAGAGGCAGCAAAAGGTGATGAAATCCACTCTTCTGCAGCTGCTGCCTCTGGTTTCTTGGTCAGGTCATGGACTGTTGTCCCTGCAAGCAGCAGGTGCAAAAGGGATCCCCTTATGCTACAGCTTCCCTTGCAGTCTGTGTGGAAAATGACCCCTGACACATAGCCAGGGGCACGAATTGGGTTAGGAGGTGCTATTGGGAATGGGTGCCTCTTTGAGCAGGGTGCAGGCAGGTTCTGGATTTGATCCAGACCCGTTCTTCCACGGGGGCACTGCATGCATGGAGACAATAACCTCTGCTCACATTAGGACGATGAGGCGGGCTGGGCTGCACATCCACATCAAGTGAGGCTGCAGCACCCAAATTCAGGTTATCGGGGTCCCGCAAACCCAGGGTATCTGCTACAGTCCTTCTCTTTTGGGCTGAGAAAGCTGATGCCTCCCCCAGAACGGCGTGCCTTGGAGCAGGAAGTGATGGAGGTGTCTTCTGGAGGCTGTGGCTTCTGCCAGCCAACTTTCATTGCCATCTCTCTTGCAGCTTCCCACTGGCTCAGCCGTCACCTGCACTCCAAGCAAAGCCCCACGACTCACATCTGCCCAGATATTGTAAAGCCATCTTTAAGGGCAGCTCAGTTGAGTCCTTCTTGTCATATGCCTGTGTTATCACTCCTATCAAAGGGATTTGGGGGGAGGTCTGAACACATCCCCTTGTGCCAGTCCTCCAGTGTTTACGGTCATAGGGCAAGGTGTATTTCCCTCAATGATGTTATTTTCCCACTTGCGTGATTTCCCGTGGTTATGTTTGTGAGGGCAGGCAACTCAGATTATCTTGGAGGGTCCCCAGAATGTCACCCACCTACCAGGTGTTGCTGGCTGCATGAAGGGCTGGGTTCAAATATCTTCAAATTTACAAATCCTTTTGGCTCAAGCCTCCACCCCAAATCCTGAGTAAAAGTGAATATGAGATTTGCTCACATACCACATACCTTCCCCCCGCAAAAAAATCAGTCTTCCAAAACTGGGGCATGTGCCTTAAATGGGGAATCTGAATTTGTGTCTACAATAGCAGAAGTGGCATTTCTATTCAGGCAGGGCTAAGGGAATCACTGGGCTTCATGGTTTGTTGCAATCTATTTGATTCCTGATAATTGCTCTTCATGCAGGAGGTGCTAACCACTCTGCTTTTTATGGTCTCGGTGGTCCGCAAATCAAGCTATCCTCTCTTTATCAAATTTGCTCTTTGTTAGCTAGTCCTGGTCTCTCGTCTCCTATTTCACTGCCCTGCAGATTATTTTTTCACAATACTAGATCTTCAGCAGCAGCTACAGTTTCAGCTTTTGGCTGAGCATCCAAGAGCTGCAAAAGGTTTAAAACTGTAGCTTTTGCCTGAGTTGGAAAGGGAGCATGAGTGAGCTGAAGATTAGGCTCTGTCCCTCCTGTATGTAGCTGTAATTCTGGGAAAAATCATTTCTTTGTCATCCTGTCTTCCTGTCTCTTCATTTATTGGGGCACGTGGCATGTCAGAAAATATGGTACCTTTCCTCATTCCCTGAGCAACAGTACTTCCCACTTGTGAGCTCAGAGTCGTTGTGTGTGTGACGAGAGGCCAAGTTGCCCCAGGCAAGGAAGGTGCAAACCCTGTTTGAGGTGAAATACCCAATTCAAAGGACAGCCGCATAAAAGAGGCCAACTTTAATAATTAGGGGGGAAAATGCTACAATGCAGCTGGAGAAGACAAAACATAAAATACAGGTTTTAAACACACTAACACCTCTCTTTTCACTCTCATGCCTGCCCTGTGCTCACTTGCTGGTTCCCAGCTGGTTCCAGCAGCAGGCAGGTCCCTGGTCTCCTCACGGTGCTCCTCCGGGTCCCTGCCAGGCAGGAGTTGCCACTGTCTCTGCAGGTAAACTCCCCTTGTGTCTGGAGGTTTTGGCTTCTCTGCTGGTCCTCAGCAGGTTGCCTCTGCCCCACAGGTCCAGCCTTTTCAGCTGCAGCCTCCAAGGAGCAGACTTCAGTGGACTC